CAGTGTATCATACAAAGAATTACATACCTAGTCGAAAGCAGTACTGTATTTCTTCTGTGGTAAGACCTGATGGTACATAAAATTCTCAAAAAGTTAGAATGTTATTTTCAGTTACGTATAAGTGACCTTGTTATAGTCCTATTACCTTTACATATTGATGTTACAGAACTACCAAAATAAACCGTTCGCCTCCCTAGATGCCATATTAACTTAGTAGGAACATGAATTGGGTTATAGCTAGTATAATGATCTGCAAAAACCTGGAACAAAATATTTCTTTTAGTCATCTAAAAAAGCTAGAAGGAAAAAAAAAACCCTAAAGATCATGCATATAATGAAATCAAGAGTATTGCATTGACCTCATTAACTTGAAAATATGTGCCATTAAGTGGAAATCTTCCTCTGTTTGCTGTCCTGGATGGAATCTGTTTATAAGACATCAATCATATATTAATCAGTGATAGTTTATATCTAAAAGTAGAAGATAGTATGTACCACAACAATAAAGTTTCTAACGGTTACCAGAATTGTGCCTCTGACTGTTTGTGCTTGTGCTTCTCGTATGCTATTGCAACTATGGCAGGTAACATTATAACACAGTTTACCATCTTCGCAACTACAGCATGATTTTGGAGGCTCTATAGATTGAGCAGTTTCACCTAAATTCCCAACACATAGTTTAGTTAAAATAGAAGCTGACACGAACATGAATTTTTTGTCAATCTAGAATTTTGCATGCCTGGTGTCCATATAGCTAGAAGGTAAGGACAAGGATCATCAGGCTCTCTTTTGTCCATCTGTCATGCATTTGAGTGAAAGAATTAATATCACATATAAAAAACTGGGAAAATTAGTACATAAGGGAAACAACTTACTCCTTCCAGAAGAGCATGTCCATCAGGAAGAACATAACTGCAAGGATTGGAAGAAAAAAGAACATAAATACAATTTAAACTAGCACCTATATAAGTTTAATATTAATTCAATTGCCATGTATTTTGTTTTATATCCAGCAAGAGAAGAGTTCACTAACGTACGCTTGGTGTTCTGTTCGCAAGCGGCCCACATTCTTTAGCTTAGGCAATGGCAAAGAAGCAGTTTCAGGCGTTATAGCAACTAAAGCCCTTGATAATTCACCATCTTGAAGACCCATACTGTTACCTTGCATATAATTCTTTAGATTCCATTTCATCTCTTCCACAAGATGCAAAGTAGGAATTTCATCTGTGTCATTAGAAAAGAAATCTTCCATATCCATCTCTGATGGTTCGAAGCATTCAGACTCTTGTTCTTCAATAATAGGCTCTGGCGTTGCAGGTTCTTCAACAATAGGCTCACAGATTCCTGTAACAATTCCCACTTCTGAATGTATGTGATCTTCCAGCTGAGGTAAGAGAGAATTTTGATTAGAAACTGGAATATGGGCTCTTCCAGAGGCAATAACAATTGACGAGCTCATTGAGCTTGTCTCCTCCGGCATTGGAAGTGCAAGCCTCGAACTGCATAACAAAAATTGGTGCATTAGTTACTTCCCATATTGTGACAATTTTAATTTCTTAAATAAAAGTCTCGAGTCACATTTTCAGAGGCTTTCAAGTTAATTGAAGTCATGCCAAATCTCCACAACAGACAAAAGCTCAACCAGGATCATTGAAAATTCATTTTAGGGCTTGTTTGTTTCCATGGAATGTAGATCACATACTAATACTTTAGTCAGAACCAAATTCCTATTGTCAACTTTCTTCTTTGTCTTAAGGGCCTGTTTGGTTGCCACTTTTTTGGGTACTACAGTATTACAACCAACCCCTCTGTATGGTTTGTAAAATGTGTGCGGTACCGTAGCTGAGTTGGCAGACCCTCAGCAATTCTCAACAAAAAGCAAGGAATTGGGCTCGCGTTACTGTAGTTGTCAGCGCACTAGACCACTCAATTCCTTGGTACTGAAGCTACTGGGCGTTTTTTTTAAAAAGTAACCAAACTGGCCCTTAAGGAAAAGGTTTTGCTGCCACGTCAGCAGAAAAATCCTTTGTCATAGGATTATAGAGTGACAAGTTGACCCCACATCAACCTTTCCATCCAACTTTTCTCTCAAACCAAACAAAAAATAGAAAATGGGAAAGCTATTGATTTTATAGAATTCTGATTCTGTCACCATCCAAAACAGATCCTAAGCATGTCAAACATATTAAATGTTTACTTTTCCTTCAAGAAATGACCCAAGGCTTTACTCCCATAAATCTTTGGGGCATTATAGAGCTACCTTTCAAAATTTTGCATTAAGTACTTACATTTGTGTATGCAAACAATTAGTAATCCAGATTTATTCACTTCATAGGCAAATGGGTATGCTCCCTATATTATCTATATAATAGAATACACAAGAATTCCAGCATAACTTACCAAAACATTCATGATCTATATAGTATCATTTGGAATCAACAAACTCATTGTTCTGTATACTTTGAGAACATTATATTTGATGTTTAAATAAAATACCTTGCATTTGCACTTGCGAAGTGTTTGCATTCTCCTCTCATCGGGCATGCCTTGCAATTAGGCTTGCTCTTTGTACAGAACACCTGCACAAGAAATTATCGCATTTTCCTTAAGCATGTAAAACAATGCATCATTCACTAAAACTATAGAGAAAGGCTTAACACATTACCTTGCCAAAAGTAATTAACATATAATGCAAGTTATACCTGCAAAGTCATGCACATGTTTGATAGATGATCATATATAATAACTTCTAGTAAGTTAAAATAACTTAAGACTACAAAAATATTTTGGAATTAGGGAGAGGCTTACAGTGTCTCTTGATCAAATTTACATAACCGAGGCCAGAGGTACTTCTGGATGGTCGCCAAGTCAGGATATCTTTCATAAAAACAGCGTGATAATTTTTTATCTTGCACAATCAGTAAGATGATAATAAATAGTCTACATCATTCATATTAAAGCTACTGACATTTCTAAATGATGCAACTGAAGGGACTCCGGCAAGGGTTGAAGTGGTACCCATCCCAGTCTTACACAAATACGACCAACATTAGTGTCAACCTGCTCGGTTATGCAAAAGATAAGGATAAGCATATTAAGTAGTTAATTTTGCAAAGTAGTTCACTTACAGGAAAAGCTACATGGTGAAGTGACAAAAGGCGAACACATTCAACACTTTTGAGCCCCAACCCACCTATACTTAGAAGGTATTCCCTGAAAAACATCAAAATCATTATAACAAGTCTCCAGTCAATATTATCAGGAAAAAGCATACTTAAGTACAGCTGTGGTAATTACAATAGAAACAATAAGCTTACTAGATCAAGAAATTTCTGTACATGCTCCGTTCAGTGCGCTAACCTCTAACAAAAAACTCAATATATAGGCTTTTTAGTGGAAAATTCTGGATGCTAGCTCCCTAGCGATACTCAATGTAAGTTACAGAGTGTTTTTATTGAACATACAGAATTGAGATCATTAAATTCATTACTAAAACAAAGAATACAATTCTAAGAATATCATGCTCAGAATTTGAAGCACAATGTCATCTGTCTAGGGTGACACAAGTTGAACCAAGTATGAACAGATAAAATGGACAAAAGAAACAACTTATGAGGAGGGAGACAAGTTTTCTTTCTGGTTAATTTGAGAGGACTACTAGATATTCCAGAATCTCTAAAATACATGATTGCAAATGAAATACAGTCTTACTTCACTTTGTCAGGTTGAACATCCCTTAGCCATTCCAGATCGAGGCTTCCATGATCTTGATATATACGATTAAGGAATTCCTGCAAAGCAAACAAAATATAATAATAATGGTGGATTCTTTTTTATGAACAGTTTTCAGCTACAAATATGTGTTGCTCCAAGCATTTTACTAAGTTCCTTTTGCAGTAACTAAACTTTTTAATTCTAATTTACAAGATGAACAATATCATCTAGTATATATTGAGCCACTGTTTACTTGCTATAGTTGTAAAGAGAACTGCATTCATGTTTAGGGTTATTTAAATATTAGTCACTCAAATCTTCAATAATTCCATATGTTAATCCCTCAAATCTCAATAATTGCTCATTAATCCCTCAAATCCTAATGGGTCTTTGCAATCTGGTCCCTCAATGAACAAAATACCGTTTAGAGGGCGTTTGGGAAGGCTTTTTTTAAGCTTTTAAGTCATTAGTTTTTAGTGACTTTTGCCTTTTTGGATAAAATTGGTATAAAAGTTGTTTGAGTAGAATAGTAATTTATTTAGTCAAACCTAACTTTTTAAAATGAGCTTAAAAGTTAGATTTTCAAAAGCTAATACCAGCTTTTTAAAATTGGGTTTATAAGCTAACTTATTAGACATTTTATCAAACAGATAGAAATAAAAAAAAACTAGCTTAAAAGCTAGTTTGACAAAAAAAATAAGCCTCTTCAAACACCTTCTTAGTCATGAATTTTCCCACAAAACTATTCTTGTTCAAAAAAGGGTAATTTGCTCTTTGGTACTCCAAAGTTCACACCTTTTAATTTTAAAATACCACAAAAAATTTTACACTTTGATACCCTGAAGTTTACATCTTTTTTAACTTTGAAATCTTAAAGTTTTTATGACACTTTTGTTGCGACAAAATTAATGCCTTCTTAACTTTGGTACCCAAAGTTTTGTTTTGACACTTTGATACCACAAATGTTAGGGTATCGAAGTAAAAAAATGTGTAAACTTTGATGTATCATAGTTCAAAAATGTAGGATCCTTGGGGTAGAAAAGTTAAAAATGTGTAAACTTTGGTGTATAAACATGTTCAAAGTTTGGGTATCAATGTTAAAAAAGGTGTCAGCTTTGAGGTATCAAATGTTGGCCATCTTGTTTTGATGATGATTTAACAAACAATTTACATCTAATATTGTTTATCTAGTGTTTGTGTTTTGTATTCATTATAGACAAACAATAAGTTGGAGGATTAATAGAATTGCGCATTCACGATCATATCCAATGGAGGTTGGCGGAATTATGGAGTGAAGCTACGTACATTCAAATTAAAGATACAAGTTCAACCTTCATCCGCAAGATTACCAAGTCAAGCTATTGAAGTTCAAGATCAAGCCTGGGTAATTTAGTTTAGGATCTTATATTATGTGTGTTAGTACATTAAGCTCAATATAATATGCACACATATTTTATTGGTTTCTTTGTATATATATATATATATATATATAACATATTTTTGTTTCATACTTATATGCATATATATGATTTCATCAATATCAATTTTATTTAGTTCAATGAAATCATGTTTTAGTGTATTATATGTGTATTTTGATAAAATACTATATTCATTGTTTATAGACTTCATAACAATAGTTTACATCTTTCTTCAAGTCTATAAAATCATTTTGTATTGTTTCAAAACATGGTTAAGCTAAAATGTCAAAACTCATATGTTCACATTTTCATGTTTTAGATTATTTTGCAAAATGATGATATTTTTCATTTGAGATGTCCTTTTTGAAAATCAGTTTTTATAGCATGTGTATTATCATGTCTACTATCATTTCCCAAAGTTTTACATTTTTTAGAATTTATTTGATATTTTTAAACAGGGTTTTAAAATCAGCATTTCACTTTCAAACCTGAAATATTTTGTATCGGTTTGCGATCGACCGTCACAGTCGACCGCGTCTTTTTTTTTACCTGCGGAGCCAACAACAACTTTCGCGGTCGACCGTCATGGTCGACCGTCAGCTCGAAAATTCCTATTTTCTGAGTTTCGAAAGTGGCTCGCGGTCGACCGCGAGAATTTCACGATCGATCGTCGTTCACTCCAACGGTCATTTTGTACAAAATCAGATTTTCGATTTTGTTGGTTTTTTGGTCTTTTCCTTTGGGGTTTTTGCTGTTGTTTTCTCTTACTATATAAACCCCTCAAACCCTCTTCTACCAGTAACCTAATGAAAAGTTTTAAAAAAGTTTAAAGAGTTTTAACAAGGATTTTAGTTGGGTTTAAAGTCTGTTTGGTTTGTGAAGATTGTTTTACAAGTGGAGAAAATCATCTACATTGTTTGAGCTTCATTTTAATCCACCTCTCCATCTTGTTTTTTAGAGAAGAATTTCTAAACTCTATTTCTAGCTATTTATTGTTTTGTTCATAATTTCTATATGCTAGATTTTAATTGAGTTTAGTTGATTTGATTCACTCATTGTTTACACACACCCACTTAAGCTTATTATATTTTCATATATAGTATATTTGAGTTGGTGAGGGTTGTAACAATTGAGTGTGAGCTTTTATTGTGTTCTCATCCATATTAGAGAACAGACAATTGTTGTAATTGTGCTTTAGTGTGAGGAGTGAACGTTGATCGGTGAGCGTTGAAAACGATATTGTGAGTGATTGTGAACGTTGATCGGTGAACGTTAAAAACCGATATTGTGGGGTGTAAACGTTATTCGGGTGAGCATAGAAAACCCGGTTGTGATAGTGGATTTCTTCCCAGGAGTGGGAAGCGAAGACGTAGGACGGAAGGTCCAAACTCCGTGATCATTTGAGTGTGTTTGAGTTTGTCATTGGCGTATTTGTTTATGTATTTATCTTATATCGCCAATTGCCTATTACTCTTGTATATTTTGTCCTATCACATTTGTAGTTTGTTTATTTCATCCTTGTGTTGTTTATATATCATTGCATATATCTCATAGTTTATCTTATTGCTAGGATATATCTCTTGTTCATATCGCTTATCCTAGCGCATATATCTTATTGTATTTCATTCTTGTTAGGATAACTTGTTATTAGTTTTAATTGACATAAAATCGGATTAGATTAGCATAAGACCCTAATCAAACCCTCCCCTCTAGGCTCTAACAATTGGTATCAGAGTTTGGTGCTCTTTGATTTAAGGTCAATCGTCTTGAGTTAAAGATCCAAGTTAACTTTTTGTGCTAATCTTGTTTTGATTACATTTGTCTTGATTGCACATAGATATATTTATCATGGACATGAATTGTGCACCTTTGTTAGGCTATGAATCAAATATTGCTCCTAAATTAGATAATTTCTCCTGTGCCCAATGGTGTGTTAGATTTAAGCTATTTGTTAGATCTAAATATTTTGATTTATGAAAAATTATAGATGATGCTTATATTGTGCCCACTACGGAGAAATCCAAGTGGAATAAAAATGATCATCGAATGTTTACAATGAATAATATTTTGTTAGAATATTTGCTAAATGTTTTTGATTCATCTATGACTAACAAGTTTGTTCATTTTGATAGTGCTTACACCTTATGAAAATTTATTGAAGCACATCAAGGGAACTTGGAGGTGATCCGACAAGCTTTGGAGGATCCGGCTTCAAGGTCATATGGAGCATCATGCACACGGTCACTGACTCACTAGGCGATAGCCCTAGTGAGGTTTACGAGTTCGAAACCACTAATGATTTATCTAGTGATGAACTTGTTTGTGCTAGTGAAAAATTGTTGCATGCCTATAACATTTTGCATAAAAATTTTATTGATTTGCAAAGCAAGCATGAAGATTTAAAATCCGATCATGAGAAGTTAGCTTCAAGCATGAAGATTTAAAATCCGATCATGAGAAGTTAGCTTCCAAATTTGATATCATTTCTCAAAAAAGTATTGCTCTTCAAGAAAGCTTCCAAATTTGATATCATTTCTCAAAAAAGTATTGCTCTTCAAGAAAACAATGATATGTTAAATTTGAAAAATAATAATTTAAAATTAAATATTGTTAACTTGACTCGTGACAAAAATAATGCCATGTTAGAAGTAGAGAACATAAAAATTATAATGCTTCTTTTATAAATGACTATTTATGTTCTACTTCTAATAAAAATACATGTGCCTAATGATGATTTGAATCTTGTGAATAAACGCATTTTATCTTTAGATTTAACTTTGAAAACATGCATCAATAATCATAAGAAGCTTATGAATATGTGTGCTAAGACTAAGTCAAAATCATCCACTCATTATGCACACATATATAGCAAAACTTATAAGTGTTCAATTTACGACCGTCAAGGTCATTTAGCTAAGTTTTGTTATGATGCACAAAAACATAAGAATTCTAATGCTCCTTGTGCATCTCATGTAGTTTCTTCATCTTGCACACTTACACATTAACATGCTCATTCTCACAAAGTTCATCATAAACATGCTAGTGTGTTCAAGTGTGATCATTGTGATCGTTTTGGTCATTTGGCCAAACATTGTTTTGATTTGAAAAATAAGTCTCATTTGCCAAATATTTCTAGTAGACCACATGTTTATAAATGTAATGTTTGTGGTAGATTTGACCACTTAGGAAAGTTTTATTTTGATAATGTTTCATATTTACAAAAAGCTTTAAATAATTTAGATGTGTTTGTAAATGTTCCTCGTGCACCTTTTAATGGTCAACATAAGCAAATACTTCCTTTCTATTGTATATATTATAATTGGAAGGGTCATTTGAGTGGTTATTGTTATAACCGATCCCGTGCACCACATGCACCTAAGAGGGTTCATAATCCTAGGGCTTTGAGCTTAAATGATAATGGTCATGTCCCTAAACCTTTTGGTGCCAAGAGTACTTGGGTACCAAAACAAATTTGATTTTTAAACCAAGAATTTTAGTTTTTCTTTTTCTTTTTCTTGGTTTTGAAAAACGTATTCTAAACTTTCTATATGAAAACAATTTTTAATTGATCAAATCTTTTGTTTTCATGATTATTTGTTTCGATTTTGATGAGAGGTTTGTGTTCATATAACCCTCCGGATTTATTAGGTGTTAGTTCCCAAATCTTATTTACCGGACGCTAAAATATTTATATGGGTTGATACTAGCTTAAGAGCTAGGTATAATTGCCTCTCTTGATTTTTGAAAATCAATGATGATTTGGTTTTATGTTCTTGTGATTTATGATTTCATTGGTTGATTTGTTTTCATTTAAAAACTTTTTACATGATTCTCATGTCTTCATTGGTTGATTTGTTTTCATTTAAAAACTTTTTACATGATTCTCATGTCTTCTTTCTTGTGATTTCATAAATCTATTTTATACATTGTTTTTATGTTTGTACATTTGAGATACTTTTTCATATTGATATATTTATATGTGTTCTCATTATCCTTTTGTATGTGAGTTGTGTTTAGCATGTTTCTTGCTTGCTCACATATGTATGTTTTAGCATTCATTGTATATATTCATTAAGGCATTTTGATAAGGGGAGTCTTCCATTTTCTATTATTGTTTTGATAGGGGAAGCTTTCGCTCTCTTTATGATTTTATCCTTTTGTCCTCTTTTTGATGTTGTCAAAGGGGAAGAAATATTATAAGTATATTCTTTCTTGTTTATATGCATGTGAATTATAATTTATATTCATTTCCTTTCATGCATATATCATTTTTGTAAATTATTTGTCAGCATCAAAAAGGGAAAGATTGTTGGCCTTCTTGTTTTGATGATGATTTAACAAATAATTTACATCTAATATTGTTTGTCTAGTGTTTGTGTTTTGTATTCATTGTAGACAAACAATAAGTTAGAGGATGGATGGAATTGCGCATTCACGATCATATCCAATGGAGATTGACGGAATTGTGGAGTGAAGCTACGTACATTTAAGTTAAAGATACAAGTTCAAGCTTCATCCGCAAGATTACCAAGTCAAGCTATTGAAGTTCAAGATCAAGCTTGGGTAATTTAGTTTAGGAGTTTATATTATGTGTGTTAGTACCTTAAGCTCAATATAATATGCACACATATTTTATTGGTTTCTTTGTATATATATATATATATATATTATTTAGTTCAATGAAATCATGTTTTAGTGCATTGTATGTGTATTTTGATAAAATACTATATTCATTGTTTATAGACTTCATAACAATAGTTTACATCTTTCTTCAAGTCTATAAAATTATTTTGTATTGTTTCAAAACATGGTTAAGCTAAAGTGTCAAAACTCATATGTTCACATTTTTATGTTTTGGACTATTTTGCAAAATAATGATATTTTTTATTTGGGAGGTCTTTTTTGAAAATCAGTTTTTATAGCATGTGTATTATCATGTCTACTATCATTTCCTAAAGTTTTACATTTTTTTGAATTGATTTGATATTTTTAAACATGATTTTAAAATCAGCATTTCACTTTCAAACCTGAAATATTTTGTATCAATTTGCGGTCGATCGACACGGTCGACCGCGTCTTTGATTTTACCTACGGAGCTAACAGCAACTTTCGCGATCGACCGCCACAGTCGACCGTCAGCTCGAAAATTCTCACGTTCGACCGTCAAAGTTTCTGAAAATTTTCTGAGTTTCGAAAGTGACTCGCGGTCAACCGTGAGAATTTCACGGTCGACCGCCAGAATTTCACGGTCGACCGCCGTTCACTCTAACGATCATTTTGTACAGAATCTGATTTTCGATTCTGTTGGTTTTTTGGTCTTTTCCTTTGGGGTTTTTGCTGTTGTTTTCTCTTCCTATATAAACCCCTCAAACCCTCTTCTACCAGCAACCCAATGAAAAGTTTTAAAGAAGTTTAAAGAGTTTTAACAAGGGTTTTAGTTGGGTTTAAAGTTTGTTTGGTTTGTGAAGATTGTTTTACAAGTGGAGAAGATCATCTATATTATTTGAGCTTTATTTTAATCCATCTCTTCATCTTGTTTTTCAGAGAAGAATTTCTAAACTCTATTTCTAGCTATTTATTGTTTTGTTCATAATTTCTATATGCTAGATTTTAATTGAGTTTAGTTGATTTGATTCACTCATTATTTACACACACCCACTTAAGCTTATTATATTTTCATACATAGTATATTTGGGTTGGTGAGGGTTGTAACAATTGAATGTGAGCTTTCATTGTGTTCTCATCCATATTAGAGAACAGACAATTGTTGTAATTGTGCTTTAGTGTGAGGAGTGAACATTGATCGGTGAGCGTTGAAAATCGATATTGTGAGTGATTGTGAACGTTGATCGGTGAACGTTAAAAACTGATATTGTGGGGTGTAAACGTTATTCGGGTGAGCATAGAAAACTCGGTTGTGATAGTGGATTTCTTCCCAGGAGTAGGAAGCGAAGACGTAGGACGGAAGGTCCAAACTCCGTGATCATTTGAGTGTGTTTGAGTTTGTCATTGACTCATTTGCTTATGCATTTATCTTATATCGCCAATTGCCTATTACTCTTGTATATTTTGCCCTATCACATTTGTAGTTTGTTTATTTTACCCTTGTGTTGTTTATATATATCCTTGCATATATCTCATAGTTTATCTTATTGCTAGGATATATCTCTTGTTCATATTGCTTATCCTAGCTCATATATCTTATTGTATTTCATTCTTACTAGGATAACTTGTTATTAGTTTTAATTGGCATAAAATCGGATTATATTAGCATAAGACCCTAATCACCCCCCTATGGTCTAACATCAAAGTGTCAAAAAAAAACTTTGGGGCATCAAAGTATAAAAAAGCGTAAACTTCAGAGTGCTAAATTGCAAATAACCCTTAGATAAACATTAATTGAGGGTATTTTGGTCATTGAGGAACTGAATTGCAATGATCCTAGGATTTGAGGGACTCATGAGCAATTTCATAGGTTTGAGAGACTAATACGGAATTATTAAAGATTTGAAGGACTAAAATCGAACTAACCCTTATGTTTATTATTTTAACATTTTGTTTAGCTAATATCAGGGCATTATGTATCAAATTCTCTAACGCAGCTTGAGATAGCTTCATACATATCAAATGACCCGACTAATGCATTCAAAGCTCCAATTTATAACAAAATTTCAGATAATAAGTTTTCTAAGCATACCTTGATTCGCTTTGAAAGATTGAAATGTTGGCCTCGTTCTTTAATTGCCTCAGCTATTTCACTCACTTCAGCACATCTTAGTGCATCGTAATCGAGAGAATCCATAGTATCCTCGCTCCGCTCTTTATTGCCACCATTCTGAAGTACCTCTTTCCGCAAGCTATCCCAGTCATACTTCTCTTTAGCAATATTCGCTTTACCCTTCTTCCCTTTTGATGTATCGTTCAAATTTTCATCTGAACCCTTTTGGGTTGTGCCTTCCTCATTTCTTAAGCTTGAATTTGTTTCATTGATAGGATTCACTTTATTGCTCATATCACCATCTTTCAAGTCTGAGTAAGTTTCATGAGTTCCCCAGTTTTGTATTTGAGTTTGAATTACAACTTCATGTTGAGTTCTTTCTGCTTTGGTTTCTTCTTCACTTTCTTGGTGTTGGAACGTGGTGGAAACGATCTTCAAATTAGTTATTTCAGAGGAGTGATTACTGGTAGATTCATCTATAACATTGATTTGTTCAGTTCCACTGGTCAGCAAAAGTCTATTTCTCACTTCTGCATTAGTGGTCACATTGTTGCTCTTCAACTGAAGAGGAAATCTTGCAGCGAGACTCATAAACGCTGAGCTGTCAATATTAAACCAGAAATCATAAGCTGATTGAAAATATTAGAGGTTTCCATTCGGTATGGAGAAACAACAACTAGCGGGCATATCTTACATATCTTAAATCATTTTCAAAATGATTTTAGGAACAAATTTTACCTTGAAAGATAGTCAGAAACATTTTGAGTAAGAAATACACCAGTTACTGAATCCACTACTGACCCTTTCCATCTAGAGAAGCTTCTATCCCCTGAAAAGAAAATTTTAAAGCAAAGAAACATTCTCAACTGAGCTGTTACTAATTATAATACACAAAATAAAATATGGTTTAGGCATGTCTTTACGAGTTCAATCATCTCATAACAACTTGTATAAGCTATGCATTTCATAGAAGATTTCTGCATTTAAGATGTCAGAAGGTTACATCTTAGTACCTAAACACTTCATGCCAATTCAATTGCTTAGTTTAACTTATCAATTGGTAACATAACAGTAATCTTTCACATAATGCACAATTTCAAAACAGTAATAGAACTATAAGGCTCATCCAACGATAGTTTGTTGAAGAAAAATGAGAGAGACATAAATATGAACCCAAAACTTATAATTACATGGAACTATGGAAGTGATGAACAGTCCATTTGATATCTATTTCATATGATAGAAAGTATCACAAAAGAAGTATTGAAAAACACTCCTACAG